AAAGAGAGGGCGGCGGCCGGGGGAACGCGCCTTCCACTCCCGCTGCTTCGCAGCATAACTCCGTGCCGTGTTCGCCGGCTGTTCGTCCTTCTTCGCCTGAAGGCCCGCCCTCCGGGCGGCACGGGCACGCTCGTCTGCGGCCGTGTACGAGTCGTCTGCGGCCATCTCGGTCGATCAAGGCCTTTCTACGTGGTGTTTGTTTCCTGTCTGGGGCCTGATAAGTTGCGGGGAACTTATCAAATGCACTTATCAGGCGCCGCGCACACGATTTCACGGGCTGCTTTTTGCGGGGGATAAGTCGTCACGTGGTCTGAGCGAATTACGACGTAATTGCGGGCACCATCGATAAGCTATCCTAGAGATAAAATCCTAACCGCTGTTGTTACAGTTTGTGCAGTAGTCCATAACGACACTGCATGAGTTTGACAGGCGTATATGTCCACAAATCCAAATACCATCGTTCTCCTTCGCGTTCTCGCGAGCTGCAATGATATCACTGCCCTTCATTCCAATACCATAGTCATCACATTCAAACTTGGCAATACAAGCAGCTTGACCAAACGAGGCAGCCATCAGGATGCCCTTATTGGACCGACTATATCGCGTCGTGTAACCCTTGTACACAGTATCGGCATCAAACTCATTGATAGCCCTATCACAAGCCTCACCCAAGCCCTTCTTTGACAGGCTATCGGCTGTTCCACACTGGCCGCTGCCGTCATTATCAACAGCAGTTTGAGTAGGTAAAGGCGTGGAAACAGTTGATGGTACACCATAGCCACGTGTCGCTGTGACGTGGATAGTATAAGCCATAAAGTACTCAAGCGTGTAGGCTGAGTAGACCAAGACGGTGCCGTCGTTGGTCTCAGTGAAGGGAGTCTGCACTGGGGCTTGGGTAGCTGGGGCCTCGGTTACGGGGACAACTGGTGAAGGATATGAGGTGTAGTCCTCGCAGCTGTTGTCGATCAGAGAGGCTGAAGTGACGTATTGCTTGCCAGAGACTGTGGTGCTACATTGACAGTATGGCTTGTCGACGCGAGGTCCGCCGAAGATCACGCAAGGGTAGTAGGTGCGGACTTCCTCGCTAGTTGTCGCTGCATCAGTCGTCACACCGGATGTGATGGCGTCGGATGAGGCTCTGGTAGTGGTTATGAAAGTGCTTGGTGTAGATGTTGACAAGACAGCGTTAGACTGTGTGGTTGTAGCCTCAGCAGTCTTGTCCTCGCTGGTGGTTGTTCCGGCAGCCTCGGTGGTCTTCTCTTCGGCAGTAGTTATTCCAGTAGTCTCAGCAGTCTTTTCATCTGTAGTAGGGGCTGCTGAAGTCTCGGCAGTGGAAGTGGCATCGGCCGTAGTAGCAACATTGTCTGTAGAAGAGGGGCCGGCTGAGGTGGCACCAGTGGAGCCACCACGGACCAAGCACTTGCTGGCCGCTTCGTCCTCGGCACGCTTCTGGAGACCAGCAGCAGGTGTAGCAGCAGGTGTAGTCTCAGGAAGGTCAATAGGATCAGGGAAGACGAGGAACTTGTGTGAAGTGACAAGCTGGTCCTCGACCCAGAGTCTCCATCGACCCATGAACTGGCCCGTCATGTCGCCATCCGAGCCAAAGACGATCTCCTCAAGCATATCATACTCAATAATAGCGCGACCCCAAGTTCCATACTGCTCGGTAGATTCTGTACGGCCGGTACGTGTGTAACCGAGAACGGTCGAATCAGATCCAGGAATAATACCAGAGACTGCAGTCGCCAGGTAGTTTGCACGATCCTCGTAGCGGAAAGTGGTGGTCACGCCGAGGCTACGCTCAAGGTCGTTGGTGAAGGGAGTGACGACGAAAACCCTGGGATGAAACATGGAATGCAGGACACCGGGAACTTGGTCTGTACCAACATAACCAGCAATGCTTTCGGCATTGCCATTGGGCGTGCCGTCACGAAGGGCATTGAAAGTAGTGGCCTGGAATTCGTCGTCAGGCGTGGGGTTCCAGTTGCTGTCGATGAAGACGGGGTTCTCCCAGATATGAGACACATAGACACCCAAGTCAGAAACGACAATGACGGAGGTACAGCCATAGATACCGTTGACGCCTGCAGAACCTTTACCAGCGAAAGGAGGAGCGCCGAACCAGTGTCCAGCTGTGGCTCCAGTCTGATCCACCCAAAGGGGGGTGAGGGAGGCGACGTAGAAAGGGTTGGGAGACATGTCATCGTTGAACGCTCGAGCCACTAGCTCTATGTCACGCTTAGAAGGCGGGGATGCAGACTCGGACCTAGCAGTAGGAGCAGTGAATGGGTCGTCACCGAAGTCAATGGGCTTGGAGGGGTCCGTAGGGAGAGGTCCATCGATAGTAGTTGTGGAGAGGTCATTGCAGTTAATGTTACCAGCCACGCTGCCCATCTGTCCTCCTTTCGATCCTCCAGACCCAATAGGACAAGAACCGCCGCCGCTACCACCACCGCAAGTGTCAGCGCCACAAGGTTGCGGCAGCCCGGTAGTCGTGGTGGTAGCTTCAGTGGTAGTTGACTCCTCCGTTGAAGTGGGTGCTTCGGTGGTTGTAGGAGCCTCTGTAGTGGACTCCTTCTTGGTCGTCTCCTCTTGCTTGGTAGACTCTTCTTTGCTCTGTTCCTCCTGGCTCTGATTCTCCTCATCCTCCTCAGTCAGGTCATCGTTCTGGCTCTGTACTTGAGGAACAACACTGGTGACGGCAGGCACGTTACCAGCAATGATGCTGCCCGAGATGTTGGTAAGGTCCTGAGCCATACAAGCGAGCTTGTTGATGATGTCACCAATGGGTCCAAGCAGGCCTCGCTTCTTGTTGCAGCCAACATCGGGCTTGCCGCCCAAAGACACAATAACAGCGATGATGTCGTCATGGGTGTCCTCGACCTCCTTGTTAGTCTCATCGGTGAGAGACTCGGGGTCTTCGGTCCACTTGTTGATGATGGGGATCAGAGCGGCGACCTGCGAGGAGACGGAGGAAACGCTAGATGTAGCCACCTCAGGAGCGACGGTTGTTTGGGCTGGGGGCTGGGTGATGACAGGCTCACCGTCATCCTTACTGGTGGGCTTGGACTCCTCGGTGGTAGGCTCAGGCTCTTGGTCCTGTGTAGTGGTCTGAGCAGGCTGCTCAGCGGCTGTTGTTGTAGTATCCTGTACAGGCACCTGCGCAGTGGTAGTCTCAACAGGTGGGACACCAGTGGTGGTACTTTCAATGGCTGGCTGTTGTTGAGTTGTGGTATCTGGCAGAGGGTTGCTGGTCTCGGTGGTTACACCAGGAACAGCGTTCGATGTTGTTGTAGGCACAACGGGCAACTGCACGTCCGTGGTGGTGTCCTGGCCAGCAGGTTCTTGTGAGGAACCAGGGGTCTGGATGATGGGCTGGTTGGTGGTATCCACTACAGGAAGCCACGTGGTGGTAGGGTCAACTGGAAGCGGCAGCTCCGTTGTTGTGTCCTGGACAGGAGGTACCTGTTGCGAGGTTGTGTCCTCGACAATAGGCTGTCCAGTGGTCGTGTCTTGAATATTGGGTTGAGTGGTACCCTCTTGTGCAATGGGCTGAGTGGTGTCAATGACAGGAACAGGACCTGTCGTAGTGTCTTGGACAGGAGGTAGCTCCTCGGAAGTAGGAGCCTGGACAATATCTTGGGAAGTCGTTGTATCCTGAACGACAGGAGCAGGTTGTGTAGTTGGCTCAGGGTTCTCCTGAATTGCTTCCGAGGTCGATTGGGGAACGACGATCGCATCGGTAGAGGTAGGGTTAACGCCAACAGGAATGTCGGTGGACGTATCAATCACTGGTGGAATGAAAGCCTCAGAAGTAGTAGTGGTAGTAGCAGGCGCAGCTTCAGGAACCGGGTCTTGAGCAATTGCATAGAATGGCAGCGCCGCCAGGGCAAAGAACGTGGCACGCATCTTGGCGTAAACGAATGACCGAGAAAAAAGGAAGGACTATACCAAACTGGAGTGTGAAAGAAACTACGAGCCTATGGCAAATGAAAGCTGAATCACAGAGTCACGCAGAAAGCATTCTATATATCAACTGTATATTCGCAAAACTTCGTCGATCGGAATATGCCCTTCCATTGCTACACAGGGTTGATGTGATTGGAGTTACAGTGACCCAGGTACAGCCCTAATCCCATTTGCCTTAGTGCTGACGCCGGCTATAATTAACGCTTCCTCCAAGCTGCTTGTGGGTAACAATTAATGGCGTTCATTGGTTATAGCTTGCGAAACCCCTGAAGCCAGCCGCGATTAGCAGATCCTTCCGTGTTTCAGAAAAGTGTTCCTCAACCTCAAGATAAACGATAAACAAGTAAATGGAGCACAGAAAGCTTATTCTGTCGTATACAAGACATCGCAATCATCTTGTAGTTTAATAGGCTATTTATCTGTATTTCAATAGCCAGTATGTTGGTTTTTAATATATTGAATAGTTAAAATCTTATCCTTATGTGAAGGAGCGCACTGATTAACGGATCCCATATCGTGTCTTGATCAGCTAAACAACTGCCGTCTCACCTAAGCCCCCAAATTCTGGGGTCCAAAATCAGCAGAGATTACGGAATACCAGCTGGAGAATCCTACCGGCTAGGCCGGCTCATGAGCCACATCCGTCCCATCCCTGCACTATCCTTGCTAATTTTAACAGATCAAGGCCGACTCTTGGGCTGCGCAATAACGCAAGATTGCAATCAGCGGATCCTCAATCCTGTCAGCAGATTCATGCATGCATGGGCAGGTTTTCAATCAATCGACATAAAGTAGATCCACCTTGTAATTTAAATCCCGATCCTTATGGGGCCCTATCTGCCGCTCACTCCTAGCACCTGTTTCATTTCATCGCTCGACCTAAACTTGGCGTAGTCTCTGGCGCTCCCGTACTGCCCCTTCAGATCAGGATCTGCGCCCTGGCTCAAAAGCCACTTGACCCTCTCAACAGCACCGGCCATGACTGCATTTACGATTGGGTATTGCGCTGTCATGTGCTGTGTCTCAAGTTTGTCATTTACACCAGCGCCATTCTCTACTAACAGTGCCATAACGGGTATTCTGGACTTGTCAAATTCAGCGCTGGGTTGAACGAGTCCTGCATGGGGAATAGAGCCGGCGGGACAAGCACCTGCAGCATAGAATAATCCCAATCCCTTGCTGGTCATCTTGGCTCCGCCATTAAGAAGCTTCTGCACTAATCCAACAGTCCCCTGTGAGGCTGCGAGTCTGAGAGCTTGGTCTGGATCTGCTTCAGGCCCGCCAAGGTTGGGATCTGCACCATGCTCCAGAAACCAATCAAGCAGTGGTTCGTTGTTTGTCTGAATGAGCCTTGGGAGGAGGCGCTCTGGTGTATTGACTGTCCAACCGTGTTCTGTAAGGAGCTGAAATAAGGCAACTTGTTGATCTGCTGGGGCCCTGAGGATAATTTCTGGGGTTTTTCGCGAAATCGGTGTTCCAGACTGGAGGAGATAGCGTACAATTTCGACTTTGCCGTTTTTCATGCCGTCAAGCAAGCCATGGTGAAGGAAGAGTGGCGAGCGGGTTTGAGAGGCAACAATTGACTCGACATTAGATAAGTCACCCTCTCGGCAGGCACACAGAAATTCGAGAAAGTCTGGTACGCTGACTCCTCGTCCAGTGAGAATATGTATGTCGCTTGGATCATCGGCGGGAATGTCGTCGTAAGGTTGGCCCGTTCCCATCTGCTGGTATCCCATCTGACTCCCGGCTCCCATCTGCTGTGCAGTTTGTTGCCGCATCGTAGCCTGCTTTTGCGCCATCGCAATAGCATGCATCTGTTGCTGCCGTTTTCTTTGTTGGTCCTCGAGCGAAAGCTGTTTGGGGGTCTGTCCTGCTTGTGATGACATTTTGCTTTGTTGCTTTTTGATGTTTGCCTTGTTTAGATGAATTGTAAGCTGAGCTGGTGCTGGGTATAAATAGAGGGGCTAACTCTGCTGACATAATGACTATTAACCCCGCAAAGCCTCAGATGGAACTTGTTGCTATCCAAGCAGTGAGCACCGATAGTTTAGGGTTAAATAAATTTTAGGGTCTGATGGGATAATCTGGGATTAAGGCAAGTAGTAGACAATGTTTACCTATGGCATAGGTATGTGATAAATAAAACGATGGCTATTCTTGACCGCCAATCTAACAGCAAATATATTCTATTATAGTCAATGAAAGTATTTATTATAAGCGCGAGTGTCTTCCGTATGACCCTGCTTACAATTAATAATAAGCAAAAAGTCAATATTTCAGCTACTATTTATTTCGAGATTGGTGCCGCAGGATAACCTCTTACCTACATTTCCAAGGATTAGTAACAATAAAAGATTTAAATAAGTTAATTCTATTAAGGTTAATAGTAGGATAATATCTAGTATATTTAATATGCGCTATAATACCATCCCAAAGCAGGTCTTGTGGGTTGAAAGCAATTATGAACTGCGTCCCAGCCTGCCTCGAGCCTTCCAACTGCAAGACAACTCGCCCTTTCCTTCTCAATATCTGCCAAGCTGACCTCATCGTTAGGTAGCAGGTTGCTTTTTTGGAGCGCTTCCTCTGGTGGTATAGTGCGTCTGTTGTTCTTGAAGACGTAGCGAGCCACGGAAGACGCATAAACTGATTTAAGCGTATCAACATCTTTCTCCTGTCCCTTCGCTGCCTTCGGCTTCTTATAAGGTTGCAACACAAACTCAGTCGGCTGAAAAACACCAGGCTTGACGAAATGAGTCACCACATATAACCATTTCTCATCCCACGACAGAACCCGGGTCCACAGCTCGTATCGGGCATATGGCTTAATCTCCTTGCGCCACGTACACGTCGTCCCGCCCAAAATCATAGTAAAGTGAGTTGGCCCCGGAAGTGGATTGAAAGCCTTGCCAAAAAGAACAAGGCTAAAGTTGCCACGAGACATGTCCATATCTGTGAAATATGTCGAGTTTGACTTGTGGAGATTATAATCGCATTCCAATGCTGGGGATCGCGTAGCGCTGATGGCAGGGAGAAAGATGCATCGAGGAGAAAGATGTTTTTCAGGGGCAGAGTCGGTAAGTCGGCGGACGAAAGCACGAAGGAACCGTGCCTGTTGGTATTGTAAGCAAACAAAAGATTTGTAGGCATTGTAGGTCCTAGGGTAGCTTACAAACCACATAAAATGTAAAGCCTTGAGATTTGTCAACATAAATAAGAACGCCAGGGTTCTCCAACTGAAAAGCGACGCCATTGGTGATAAGCTAATAGTTGACATATTTGAGATTGTGTCGGCCATGTTGACTAGAAAAGGGATGGTGTATAGTTACAGGCTCAAGATGTTGGCAAGCTGTTGATGCTACACAATATTCAGCGTTTGTGCCTATTCAAGCCCTCTTTATCAAGACCAACTAGACATGGAAACCCACCGAGAAGAAAAACTCTGCATCATCGGTTGGGTATTTTGTTGAGGGATGTTCGGACCGAGCTTGATATGACGGGGTTACAGAGCAGGAGTTTGCTGGGGACCCACATAGTGCCGAGGTCTTGACATGGTCATTACCATCTGGGTTCAATGATGGAGCATTAAGATAGCGAGAAACGGCGGCTTGAATCCACTTTAAGAAGTCCAAGGATACAATCAATTGAGTACAGGAAGAGCTGTTGAGAAGTCCAACTATCGGTATGACGAAGCAGTCCCAATATTTGACAAAGTCTACATGCGACAGAACAGGACCTGCGTTTCACCTCGTGTAGTCTCACCATAGACTCAAAGCTTTGCCCTTGAATGCTCGTCCTTTTCGGCATCCCACCAAGGCCAAAAAGGCACAGCATTTCGGTCAAAAGCCCCACTGAAGTCTGGATGCTGTTTCTTCGTGATCCCTTTAATTCCTGCCGCATTGTCCTGGGACCCAACAAGAGAGATAAAGACTTTGGAGTCCAACTTATGCATTTCTTCTGGAGTTCCAGAATTATACAACAGCATATCCCTCATCAGCTTAGTACTGGTGAGGGAGGTATCCTCTCCAATATTGGACGCAAGCTCCACGGCATACGCCACAGTTTCTTCGGGTGTCGGAAGGAGTTTCGAGAATAAAGGACTGACGAGTGGGTCGGAGGCAACATAGGTCTCACCGGTTGTGACAATATGCATCGCCTTGGCTAGACCGACTAAGCGTGGAAGAAAATAGGCACTACAAGACTCGAGGCTCAGACCCAAACGGGCGAAAGGTAGAGCGACTTTTGCTCCAGACCACGCCACGCGGATGGTAGCGGGGAAAGTGACGGTAAGCCCAAAGCCTGCTGCAGGACCGTTAATGGCAACAATGGTGGGTTTGGTGCAGTTGGCAATTGCTAGAGCGACTCGCCCTCCCCTATGCGATCGTGTCAGCATACGTCTGGGCCAACGTCAAGCGCGTACAGACTGGTCTCTATATCTAGCAATGGACTCTTCGCTTTCTTTATGAGCCATCAGCCCGGAAAATCCAACCTGGAGATCTGCTCCCGCACAGAAGGCCTTCCCTGCGCCAGTCAGAACAACAGCCCGAACTCGCTCGTCTTGATCGATAACTCGATATGCCGTCTCAAGCTCAGTAAGAAGATTTTCAGTGACAGCATTATGCTTATCAGGACGGTTAAAGGCTAGAATAAGAACTTTTGTAGCGGAAGGCGAGTCTGCTGGGACGTGGGAGATGGTGATGTCCTTGAAGGGCAGTGATGAATAGGAAGCTGGGACTTCAATGGTTGCTGACATGTTGAAAAATGTTGATCTCTTGATAGCGAGTTTACCTCATTTGCAACAGTTCTTATAAGATTGTTCACTTGGGAATACACTGCTATAACACGATTGGACCTCCTTGCTGTCGTGATGTACACGGCTCGGAAGTCATATACTAGGCTTGTCCGAGGAGTAACAGTCGGCCCCACAATGTGCCGAGGTAAGATACGTCTCTTCGCCCAGAAGAAGTCTACATCTGACGTAATATGGGTGGACAAAACATACTCACTAGTCCTTGATACACAAGACTTGGCACTTTTCATTTTGTAATGTTAT